CAGTCCAGAGGATACTTGTAAAATATCCCCCAGTGTGGCAGGGGCCAGGTTGCAAACTGTCAACCACTTTGTGCTCTTCCTCCATCACGATAGGAAAAAGCACTTTAGCGGACATAATCTAAAGAATATGCTTCAGGAAGTTGTTCCCTCATTGCCCCTCCTCAGTGCCTGAATCACAATACAAACAGAGAAGGCGGGGTCTGACAGGAAGTCAGCTTTGCAGTTAGGCAACAGCAGGAGTGGTTTGATGAGAATGCAGTTAAGGATCACTTGATGATGGGGCCAGGTTTTGAGAAAGATGTCGGAGACTTTCCTGCTGCGCAGACGTCGTAGTACATTCTTACACAACATACAGCCAGCCGAGACACCACTAGGAGATATGATCGGAAGGGTCAAAGGGACATCAATGTATATGCAGTACATCCTTGACCAAAACTTTGCCAGGGAGTGCATGACTGTATGTGGCAAAGTACAAACTAAACAAGTCACTGTACTGCAGGAAGTCAGCCTTATTCAATTTATCCAAAATGTAGTTGGCTCCTTTGCAAGAAGTGGAAGGAAAGTTAAGAGCTAACCTCCCAAATATGATCATTGGTATTAATATTTGAAAAACTGAGTGAGATATCAAAGAGAAAAATTTTCAGCTAAGTATGCTTAGGATATTATATTCTTCCCTACCCCAAACTTAAATACATGTAGCTTCCTAGTTCAGGTTCTTGAGTAAAATTTTAAGCATTTCTACAAATTGCTAATCAAGAAAAGCATGATAATAGTATTCCAAAAAAAAGCTATCCATTGTTTAAATTTTTTATTCATTTATTTTCATATTATGATAAAGACAAAGACAGACATAGATATTCCATTCACAGGTTTATTCCATAAATGTTCACAAAAGCCAGCACCCAAAACAGGAACCAGGAACTCAGTCTGCATCTTCCACAGGGTAGCAGGGATCCAAGTATTTGGGCCATCATTTGGTGCCTTCCAAGATGCACTTTTACAAAAATCTAGAACCAAAAGTGGAACCAGAATTCAAACGCAGGCATTCTGATATGAGTGGCAGGCATATAAACTGCTGGATCAAATGCCCACCACTAAAATTGAAACTATTTAAATTTAAAAAATGTCATGAGGTCATTGAATTTTAAAGAATCAGGTTACATAGATAGACTTTTCAAAAAAAATCACTTACAACTATCAGGCTTCCATCAAATATTAGAACCAGGGGCTAGCATTGTAGCACAGAGGGTCAGGTTACTGCTTGCTAGAACAGCCCTGTACATTAGCAGGAAGCTGGATCTGAAGCAAAGTAATGTGCCTGGGAAGGCAGTGAATGACGGCCCACGTACTTGTGCCCCTGCTGCCCATGTGAGAGCAGATGCATTTTCTGGATACTAGCTTCAGTACAGCCCTTCACTGGCTGTTGAAGACACTGAGAGAGTGAACCAGCAAATGGAAGTCTTTTCTTTTTTAAAAAACAAAACAAAACCTATTTTAAATTCAAGGGAAAACTAGGAAAATTCTTTCTAGAAGAATTGCAGTGATTAAAGTCTCATTTGAAAAGCCAAATTCAATAATTGATTCAATATTTAATTCAGCCATAGATGTTAAAGTGATTAGGTGTAGGCACACAGGTCTGGTCTGGAAGGCATGAGTAATCAGCTGAGAGCCCACCTCCAGTGAGCCAGAAACACAGCAAGTAGCAGTGGCTCCTCTGTGTCTTCATGTAAATCCTGTCCTGGGCTTATTCTCTGTAATGCATAGGCTCCTTCCTCCCAAATCCTGGCAGCAGACACAAGGACAGACAGGCCCGTAAGGGAGGTAACAGGAGAAATTCAATCAGATTTCCCCAGCATAAACTCCTTCTTTTTTATCGTCATCTGTTACAGCAACATGAGCTACATCTCCTGTTCATGAATTTTCTATCCTGAAAATGACAGCAGAGTTGAATTCAACAGCTACGGGCAGTTAACAAGGGTCATTTAACACAAACCACTTTGCCTCATTACAAGGCCTGTCTTAGGGACTAGTCAATAACACCTATAAAGAAGCCCTCAAATGCAGCAAATTTGTCACATGGGTTTTGCTCCGGAAGTGATAAATAAAAAAGCTTATCAGAAAGAAATATTTGGAATGTTTGGTAATTGAAGCATCTACTAAGCTGAACAAAAGACAGAATCAAATATTCAAGACAAAAAGGGGGGCTCTATATGCAAGGAGTACCTCCACACAAAGCAGGCAGTGTGATTTTAGCTTCAGGTAGAACCACAGCTCCTGATGCAAGTGTGTGTATGTCTGTGTGTGTGTGCACATGGTTGTGTGTTGTTTATTTATTACTCATTTTTAGTTGAATGTTAGAGTGATAGAGAATGAGAAAGAGACATAAAGAGAGTTCTTTCACCCATTGGTTCACTCCTTAAGTAACCCTCAATAGCTGGGGCTAGACCAGGCCAAAGCCAGGAGCCTGGGACTCCATCCAAATCCTCCATGTGTGTGACAAGGACTTAGGTATTTTAGCCCTCATCTGCTGTCTACCTGGTACATTAGTGGGAAGTTTAACAGGAAACAGAGTATCAGGGATTCCACCAGGCACGTTGATATGAGATGTAGGTTCCCACGTGGCAGTTTAACTTGTTGTGTTATAATGTCTGCCCTGTGTGTTCGTTTAAAATACAAGGAGGCAGGCCTATGCTGTGGCACAGTGGGTTAAAGCCCCGGCCTGAAGCGCCAACATCCTTTAAGAGAGCTGTTTTGAGTCCGGACTTCTCTACCTTCAATCCAGCTCCCTGCTAATGTACCTGGGATAGCAGCAGAGGACGGCTCAAGTCTTTGGGCCCCTGCACCCATGTGGGAGACCCAGAAGAAGCTTCTGGCTCCAAGCTTTGGGTCAGCTCACCTCTGGACACTGCAGCCATTTGAGGAGGGAACCAGAGGATGGAAGACTTCTGTGTGTGTGTGTCTCTACTTCTCTCTATAACTCTTTCAAATAAGTAATTTTTTTTAAACTTTTATTTAATGAATATGAATTTCCAAAGTACAGAATATGGATTACAATGGCTTCACCCCCATAATGTCCCTCCCACCCGCAATCCTCCCCTTTCCTACTCCCTCTCCCCTTCCATTCACATCAACATTCATTTTCGATTCTCTTTATATACAGAAGATCAGTTTAGCATACATTAAGTAAAGATTTCAACAGTTTGCTCCCACACAGAAACATAAAGTGAAAAATACTGTTTGAGTACTAGTTATATCATTAAATCTCAATGTACAGCACACTAAGGACAAAGATCCTACATGAGGAGTAAGTGCACAGTGACTCCTGTTGTTGACTTAACAAATTAACACTCTTGTTTATGACATCAGTAATCACCCTAGGCTCTTGTCATGAGCTGCCAAGGCTATGGAAGCCCCCTGAGTTCACGGACTCTGATCATATTTAGACAAGGCCATGGTCAAAGTGGAAGTTCTCTCCTCCCTTCAGAGAAAGGTACCTCCTTCTTTGATGACCCGTTCTTTCCACTGGGATCTCACTCGCGGAGATCTTTCATTTAGGTTTTTTTTTTTTGTTTTTTGTTTTTTGTTTTTTGTTTTTTTTTTTTGCCAGAGTGTCTTGGCTTTCCAAGCCTGAAATACTCTCATGGGCTTTTCAGCCGGATCCGCATGCCTTAAGGGCTGATTCTGAGGCCAGAGTGCTGTTTAGGACATCTGCCATTCTATGGGTCTGCTGTGTATCTCACTTCCCATGTTGGATCATTCTCAAATAAGTAAATTTTTTAAAGAGTGGAATTTAAAAAAAAAAAAAAGAATGCAAGGAGTGCTGATTTTACACCCAACCATAAAATGTTTCATAGAGCTACAGAATACAAGCCTGGCAATTGTGCACTGTTCATATAAGGAATGGACATCTGTCCGTGTTGTTCAAGAATTACCTGACTCCTATTACCACCCACCCCAGTTACCCCTTTTCTTCTTCAAGAGGAGCTTACAAACTCTTGATTCCTGTGGTGAGACTGCCCCTGAATCACAAAGAGGTCTTGGAGGTACATGACTTGTGTTCAAAAGAATAATATATATCCCTTAAACCCATGCTCCTAAGCAGTGGAAAATGATCATCGGGGGGAGGGGGGATAAAAAACAACTTGAAGAAATGGAATAGCTGTCAGAGAAGGAAACTGGAATTTTGGAGCTCACATGTCAGTGGGGAATACAAGGAAATTAGACAAAAGAGGAGAGTCCTGGATGGGGACTGAATTGCTTTTCAAAGTGTGCAACACTCAATCAACAGCTCGAACAAGCTTGTGCAACCTTGGAGTGGTGACTCAGTTCATAAAGACAGTGGGGGTGTAGAAGCACCGTATGGGCACACGTGTTCAAAATAAGAAGTTGGAGTTAAAATGACAGAGCTTATCAATGTGGCATGATCGTTTGAGACACAAGCTATCTAGATTTGGACAGTCTCCAAAAAGTAAGCTTTGACTTGGAACACTTCTCAAATGGC